CCCCTTTTTGATTATAATAATAATTAATCTGATCACGTGGACCCTGAGTGTCTTTAGCATACAACAAAAGCTTTTGATTCTCTGATAATTATAAGTGTTGTTTTAAATTTGTTCAGATATACAGCAAATGTATGTATGGGTATAGGTTGAGATTGATGAACTGGTTTGATATCCTCATCTTCCACTACTACTGCTACTACTACAGGTAAACTACTATTTCTTCACTAGCACTCTAATCTCTTCATCTTTTAAAATTATCACTACCTTAAAACCACCTCTCTGTTACACTGCTATTCTTACTATTTCAATTACTATTACTTTAGTACTAATATTTGAAGGAATTGAAGCTTACCTCTCTTTCTTCAGATCAATTCTGAATACTCTTATCTTGTCTAGATTTAAGTAGTTATTATGTACTAGGATTAGTCTGCCCAAAATACCCGGGCATGATAGTGGCTTTCTTTGTACTTCTTTGTAAACATATAACCCATGACGCCTATATATAAAACAATCGAGAATTAAATATATCTAATCATATAACGTGTACCTTTTACCCTGAACTAAAAAAATCTGACGAACTGAATCAGAGTTACATTCATGAATGTGTAAAATCTTGTCCTAGTACTACCAAAGACTTGGAGAATTAATACCTCAGACCACTCGCCCACTCGCCACACTCCAGAGCACTGATAGTTGTAACATTCTTGTCGATGCCGTGGACGAGTTCGATCATCACACTGCGAGGCACTGACTACCGTCCCATTATGTAAACGGCACACCACATCACGACGCTGAAACGCTGAAAATTTTTATCTTGTGGTAAAACTGTTGTTTAATAAAAAATGTAGCTGACCTAAGACACTTCCTGGCAATTTAATATTAAATTTCATGTTAAATTTAATATTAAAATATTAAATGTATTAAATTTTTATTTAATATGTTTCACCCCAAATACTTAATTTCCACTGACATCTGTGTTACACATGTAATTTTGATACATTGTGTATTACATATACAGTATATACAATACATATATCCAATATTGTTTTGGGTTTTCTATTGCTAGTATTAGGTGTAACTCGAGACTAAACAAAGTACAGTAACTGTACATAACTATGGAACTCTCATGTATAAATCATACACTCTTAACTCACTTTTGTAATTCTAATATATCTTCTTGGGAAATAAAGTTATTTTCATCATACTATCACTTAATAATTTTTTTTATTATTAACACATCGGCCATTTCCCACCAAGGCAGGGTGACCTGAAAAAGAAGAAACACTTTCATCATCATTCACTCCATCACTGTCTTGCCAGAGGTGTGCCTACACTACAATAATAATAATTATAATTAAGTAAACACATTTTACAGAGGAGACTGACCATAATGAAGTGTGAAACACCGTGATGACTCGCACTCCGACCACTCTCCAAAATGCCACTGTGGACACTCTGTAAGACCACATCGCTGTATGGTGACTGGAGCTTCAAGTCCAGCATCAACACACAAGGCTCCATCTACTGGTCGACTCACATTGTTCACTCTCACCAGGCATTGGATTGAACGAACCTGAGCAACACTCGCAATTAAATCAATTTCTTGCAACCGGTCAACTTTGAAATGTATTATAATGTTAAGAAAGATTAATTATATTCTGGAAAACTTGAAATTTTATATACATACACTAAAAGGTAATAAAAATACCTATATATTCTTAAAATGAAATATGGCAGTGACCTTGACATATACTGTTAAAACTTGTTCATTATCATATAACTTTCAAAATACTACATGGATGTGCAATACCATAAAAACATATATGAAGACACTCCTGATTACCTCCCATTCCCCAGGCATTGTATGATCCTTACGAGTTTAGCTCTTCCCCATGACTGCAATAATGACCATAAAGTGAATTAAAAACTCTGAGGTGTGTGTGACAAGCTCTACACGAGTACTCACCTGGTAACCACTAGAAGAGCTGGTGAAGCCACACGTCTGCGAACACTCGGACCAATTTGTCATTTGCACTCAAACTCCAAGAATCGCGAGTGCCTATAAATTGGTACAACTCAGTGATTATCAGATAAAAAAAAAAAAAAAAAAAAAAATTAAAGAAGGATGGAATACTTGAAAGAGGATTAGAGAACAGGAACACAAAGAAGATCATTATTTTAAGAATACATAAGAGAACTTGGTTATCCACTCTGAATCACTTTCATTGCAAGAAACAAATCTGACAAACTGAAAATAGCACACATTGTACTAATACTTAAAATATGTGGCCAGAAAACCCCTTTGAGCAACAGGCTTGTCTCATTGACAAACATGGTGATAATATTGAAAAAAGTCATGAGAAAAAATGGATTTGGAGAGGAAAACCTGTAGCACTCTCAAGGACAGGAGGAAATGTTGCAGTCTGGTGGGTAACTTGAGTTGTGATGTCTGTGCACCTCTGGAAAGACAGCTTAGGGTCAACCTACCTTAGTGGGAAATGGCTGGTGTATTAAAAATGCTAGATTTTAATTTTACATAATTATAACATTCAGCTTAAAATGTAAATAGGCAGAATGTGGAAAGAAGGATATTTACTTTAATATACTGGTTGTTTCCCACCAAGAGACGGTGACCCAGAAAAGAAATGCTTTCATCATCACTTCATTAGTGTCTTGTCAGAGGCATTCCAATACTATAGTTCAAATACTACAGCATATCTCTACTCCTCCTTCAGAGTGCAGGCACTGTACTTTCCAACTTCAGGTCTCAAAATCTGGCTAACTCGTTTCTCTGAATCCCTTCATAAATGTTACCTTGCTTGCACCCCAATAGCACGTCATGTCATAAAAACCATTTGCCTCCACTCTATCTAACACACCCAGCTCCTCATTACCTTTGCCAAGGATTTCTGGTGTTCCTAGAGGGTGCTCAGTAGTTGTTGCATCACGGAGAAGGTCATGAGAGATCAAGCCACCAAATTCATCTCTTGGTGACGCAGCATGGCGTCCCCCCTAGAGCTGATCGTTCTCTGCAGAGAGGTCGGTAAAAAGCTCTGTGTCCCCATTAGTGAACTCCTAAAATGCCACTGCCTTGCCACCTTCTTTTGTCATGGCACATATATATACATAATTCAGTACTACTCTTAGTTCCTAACTCTAATATGCCTTTAAACCTTGCATTTGTTTTATGCAAAAAATAACTACTGTATTTGTTTACATTCTACTAATGCTACCAGTCCACTACATGTTTGTAGGTTTTCTACATTTCTTGTGAGCTAATTTTATGTTTTAATTCCTGGTTATGAGCTTACTGAAACCTGAGAGATGTAGGTTGAACAACTACCTTAAAATCTAAATAAAGATCCTCAATATATACAGTGGACCCCCGCTTTACGATCAGTTCCCAATGCGACCAATTATGTAAGTACAGTGGACCCCCGTTTAACGATCACCTCCCAATGCGACCAATTATGTAAGCGTATTTATGTAAGTGCGTTTGTACGTGTATGTTTGGGGGTCTGAAATGGACTAATCTACTTCACAATATTCCTTATGGGAACAAATTCGGTCAGTACTGGCACCTGAACATACTTCTTGAATGAAAAAATATCGTTAACCGGGGGTCCACTGTATATTTATGTAAGTGCATTTGTATATGTATGTTTGGGGGTCTGAAATGGACTAATCTAATTCACAGTATTTCTTATGGGAACAATTCGTTCAATACTGGCACCTGAACATACTTCTGGAATGAAATAATATCGTAAACCGGGGGTCCACTGTATTTCCAACTTGATTCATCTGTACAGTAAACCCTCAATTTAATCAAACTTGGTTTAATGAACTTTGGAAATATGGGACAAAATCTGCAGAGTTGATTCATTCACAAATAAATTGTTAGGTAAATAGACACAGATACAAATAATGTGACATTTTATTGTGGCAACACTTCACTCTCCAGGAGCTTAGTCAAGCCATAACAGCTTAACATTATTATTATTATAATCAAAAAGAAGCGCTAAGCCACAAGGGCTATACAGCGCTGGACAGCTTAACAAAGATCCTGGAGAGTGAAATGTTGCCAAGGTAAAAATGTCGCATGTTGCATCTGTGTCTATTTACCAAACATTTTGTTGGCAGTTCTAAGAAATGACAAACAGCAATAGTTACAGAATTACCCATCATTGGTACCATGATGGCAGAACAACCTCATGTCTATCCACCATACTCGTCCTTCCCCTCGCTATTGACTTCATTAAATCGAAGGTTTGCCATTATTTTACGTTGCCTTGTAGCCCTCGATAAAAAGTATTTTTCATAGTAATATGGCTACCAGTTTTTCCCAAAAAATGTTAATTAGTAATAATGTGAATGTTTAACCAGTTATGAATGGGTTCATTATTATTATTAATGTTTATTATTAGTATAATTAAGTCATAGTGTTTATCATCACTGCATCTACTGATATTCTCACTGATATTGTATATTTTTGATTAAATTTGTAAACTACAAAGCTCTTTATTTTTCCAATAATTAGTAATGTTAAAAGAAACATAAATTAGCTATTATTATTTTACAGTGTTAAGCTTCATCTGCACAAATCCCTAAACTGGGTAATAAAAATGATTATTATGTAGATATATGGCAGCTCTTCAATGACTTAAGTTAATATTAAGGTCTCACTGTATCAAAAATTCGTGATCATTTATGCATATAAAAATAAGTACAGAAGGACCCCCATATCCACGGGTTCAGTTATCCGTGACCCAAAAATAACCCTTAACTTTGCATAATAACGGCCTCAGAGTGCAAAACTAGTGATGGCGGTAGTTCTTCAAAGACTAAGAGAAGCTGTAAAGTACTTCCCGTCAGTGAAAAAGTGATAATTCTCCACCTACTGTACATAATTTATCAATTAAACTTTATAATAGGTACGTATGTAAACAAAAAACCAACTTAGGTTCTTGGAGTGTACCCCAGGAGGATGTGGCGGTCCTAGCGTATCTTAACATCAGCTAAGAAAAATAATGTTTACCAAATTTCAAATTCTATTGTTAATTTTTACTCATGATGAACAGCAAAGTTGGTTAATATCTTGATGCTGGTGAGGACCCCTGTGGATTTAGTGCTTCTCCATAAATAAAATAATATTAATGATCATAATAATATGACATGAGCAATACAATACTTAAGAGTATGTATTACTCATGTCATAATTGTTGAGATTCATGTCATTGACAGTACACTGAGACTGAACTAGCAATAATTATCCACACTGTGCGACACACTTCTCTAACAACACTGACTGCTAATCTAAACTATTACTGTGTACATATCTCTATTACACACAATCTCATCTTCAATATATACAGTATTGCACTGTTCAAATATACAAGTGCTGTACATGTACAGCACTTGTATACTATGCAAATAAAAATTTTCTATGTAGAAGCATGTCTCGAGGGAGATCATCGCACTTGTGATGTAATGGGAGTGACCTTAATGTTATGTCACACTTGTAATCTAATGGGCGTGGCCCTACTGTTACACCTGTTAGGTCGATCGTTAAATTATATACTTCCATACTTCTTATGACATGGTGTAATTATTTTGTATACTGCATATAAGTATTTGCATACAAAATAACCACAGGGGGAGTTGAATGATAGGCCGTTTGTGTATTGCAATCAACACATCAAGAGTTTGCAGTGTTCTAGAAATAGAGCAGGAAATTCAGGCAGATTTGTTCAGGGGAACCTCGCCTGCACTAATCTGCCTAATGTGTTGATTGCAATACAAAAAGACCTAGAGTTATCATTTAACTCCCTATCTGGTTATTTTGAATCTTTTTTCACTCGTTCATGATTTTTGCATTATTTACTTATATGTGTATGCATATATGCTTATATACATATACTATACTGTGTATATATATACGCATATTCTAAAGAGAAATTCTGAATCGTGTGAGCGAGTGATACTGTACGTATTAAAACATTGAGATATTAAAGGAGAGTAATGCAGCATAATACATACGTATTACAAAATATCACTACAATTCTGTAAACAACTATGGATATTATTACAAATATCAATGCAACACATATTTCTTTTATAACTGAGAATATCAATGACTAAACTTTAATAACAGTAAAATGTTTGATGAAATACACAACGTAAACAATAATATAAAAAAGTTGAAATTAATAAAGGAACTAAAACCCACTTTGAACTATTTTACTATCTGTGTCTTTCATCTAAGCCTCATTACTGCTGTATTAATCTCAGGCAATTGTTCAGTCACATGCATACACAAGTTAATGTTAGAAGCAAGTGCATGTTGTCCGGTCACCAGACTTGACCAGCATGCAAGATAGTGCAATGTTAAAATAACATAAGATTCAGTAATAGTAGAAACAAGTGTATCATGCATGAAGGAGGTCCTCACTTACAAGTTGCATTCCTGGTGCTTCAACTTGCTCATGAGTTGGCAGACACTTGCATAAGTTGACAAGTGGTTCAATGACACTATAAGCCGTGAAGACCTCTTTTATCCACCTTCACCAAGGATTATCAAATATGACAAATTTCATTGCACTTATCAAAGTATAATGAAATTTGTTTTATATTTTACCCTGTGTGTGTGAAATAAAGGTCTTCTTTGATTAAAGTGTTTCTGAATCATCACAAACCAATTTTTTGTATAGGAAACTCACAAAGAGAAGATTCCATTTTATGAATTTGCGCTTTGAATCTGTTGTAAAAATGCAACTGTTCTGCATGTTCCATTTCTTAGTATGACTGTACTACCTTGCGAGTTTGTAAGTTGCAAACCTCCTGTAAATATTAATACTGTATCGTAAATTCAATGTAAAAATGTCAATACATTACACATATGCTGCAGCGGGTAATCAACAAAGGCACAAGCTCAAGACCCTGAAGGCTGGAGACACTTGTTGACGTTATGCTGCTCTATACCATGTGAACACAAGCTTGCTTTAACACCAGCGGCTACATTATAGAATCCAACTCCAGTTTGATATTTGCTAAGTTAAAAGCAAAGAGGGCATTTATTATTTTGGTTATACTGTACTATATTTAAGAGTTATTATTCACAGGAAATGTTAAAGGTTAAAATTGCAGGAGTTATATTCTAGAAGTGAAGAGCAGTAGAGATGTAGAGTTGGTCGGTAGAGAGTTGTTGGAGCATCTCACCTCCAGGTGGGAGAGTATCTTCTGGAAGTAGGGTACGGAACGAGAGGCTCCAGAGCTGGTGTTGGGAGGTGCAGGGGGCAGGGAAGGGAAGGCTTCAACGTGCGAGTGAGGGGTGCCAGGGAGGTCGTACTGCTGGTGCTTATGGTGTTGCTGGTCCAAAGGGTTGGTCAAAGAATGCCAGAGGTGAGGATTGTTTGTGGTAGTACTGGTACTGGTGCCCATGTCCCAAATGGGAGAAGAGGTACCCTGATTTGGCCAGCGGCCTGTGCTACGATCTGAGTTCAGAGATTCACCACGATTTGACCAAGACCCCAAACGCTGACCTGACCGAAGGAATGAATGGTGGCGGTGCTGGAGGGAGGGGAAGGAACCATGCATTGAAAAGGAAGAAAAGGAATATAAATGTACTTAGTCAGGGAGGGACACAACAGCACATCAGTGTTAAACAAAGCATCATTCTTTAACCATGAATGAAAATCAAAACACATCAATAATGTGAGGGAGAATATAATATATCTTATACCACTGTAGCTGACAAATACATGTACGTATACAAAATATTTAAAAAACTTGGACAACCACTGCTGATAATGTTTTACCCAATACAATAACCTCAGTTTATGTATATATGTAAAAGTGCAATAGTATTAATTCAATAAAACAGGCTGAAAGAAAGATGTTATAATAAGCATAGCAGATTATTTTTGTACATAATAAACTGGGATGATGTTGAATAAAATGATAAAATCAAACTGAATTTATTCAATCTGCTTTTATAACCAGGGATTATGAATATGTGACTCATTAATTACCTGAAGGTGATCCCAGTCCACTGTATGTGAATAAAACTGTAACTAACAGGTCTTGGCTTCCCTCACCACACACATTTTGGTGGTATAAGTAAGTGTATGTTAATTATTATTAAACCTCAGCTGTATTAAATGCATAGTACTGCCAGGAGTACACTGAGAGACAACACAATAAGTGTCCAGGGCCCCCAACTGTTCAATTGCCTCCCAGCATACATAAGGGGGATTACCAATAGACCCCTGGCTGTCTTCAAGAAGGCACTGGACAGGCACCTAAAGTCAGTACCTGACCAACTGGGCTGTGGTTCGTACGTCACCTTGCGTGCGGCCAGCAGTAACAGCCTGGTTGATCAGACCCTGATCCACCATGAGGCCTGGTCTCAGACCAGGCCACGGGGGCACTGACCCCTGAAACCCTCTCCAGGTAAACTCCAGTATTGTACCACATTTTATTTTTAATTTTGATTATATTTTTGAGTAGAGGGAGGATACCAGTCACTGCAGTATCCAAGAGACTGCAGATAAAGCAAACATATTAACCACACAAGATTCAATGATCGCATTACCAAGGAAATAGCAGCAGCTCTCCAACAGCAGCAGCAGCTCTCCAACATACAGATATGATGGATCAACAACTTGGTGATTGTTATAAAGAAGAGCTCTGTCTTTAAAAGAACCTGACAGAAACTACATTTATATAGTGTGTTATGCTTCAAAAAAAAAAAACTAATATGAATGCAAAATATACCTCAGAAAGATATTGGAGAAACATGTAGAGTGGCTGGTGCCCCATGGTCTATTAATCAAATTTTTCATTAATTACAGAAAACAGGACTACCTCAAGACAGCTGTAGAAATAAGAAAACACAAACACGCATGTGAACAAGTGGCAAACAAAAAGCACTGATTTACTCTCCTCACTGCGACACTTTGATAAAATTCAACCATTTCTATGTTCAAGGCAACAAAATATAAGCTAAAACTCCTATTTCACTTAGTAGTGTTGGCATACAGAGTGATGGCTCCCATATAGAAATTGGAACATGAATCAACAACTGCTATGTTGTGCAAGAAAGGTATAAAATCCGACAATATGAAATAAAGATATCCAGATGTTGCACATGTGTCTTAACTAACTGCTATGTTCCTTGCACTCAACTGCATCCACGTATTTAAGGTTGACACATTAACTGTAAGTGATTCTCTATCATCCATAAATATTCTCAACTTCATAAGTGTCAACTGTGGCATCCTTGTGTCAGAAGCCAGACACAGGTATGGTAGGCTTGTAGACAGTGGAGTCAGAGTACACCTGTGGATTCCATCTCATACTGATCATCAGCTGCATGAAAAAAACTGATGAATAGGCAAGGAGAGAGTATATTAAAACCTCTCAACTAGTAATTTGAGGACAGCAATGTGAAAAACATTCAATTAAACTTCTCTGATTTGAGACTGAGGGAGACTGACATCAGTCAGCCCATCTATCACTATTCTATCACACAGGAGGAGCCACATATCTATTGTGCCTTCCAATAAAAGCAGCAGACTCCTGGATGCATTCATCAGACAGCCACAGTCTCATGACTTGGCCTACATGGCTGTCAGTATTCAACATATTAATACAATGAATCTTAGAGTCAGTATTAGGAAATTTACTGCTTAAAGTCATTCTATTTTATTCTATTTCAATCCTGGGTAATGTGTAGATGCTGTTACACTGTCATTTTCCACCAAGGCGGGGTAACCCAAAAAGAAGAAACACTTTCATCATCATTCACTCTATCACTGTCTTGCCAGAGGCATGCCAACACTACAGTTAAAAAACTTCAACATATCTACACCACTCCTTCAAAACAGGCACTGTACCATCTTCCTCCAGGACTCAAGTCCGTCTAGCCGGTTTCCCAGAATCTCTTTATAAATGTTACTTTGCTCACACTCCAACAGCACGTCAAGTCATAAAAACCATTCTATCTAACACGCTCATACTTAAATAGGAATAATATTGGACAAGGATAACTACTGCAGGCTTTGGTTATCCCAGTGACATACTGCCAACAGTAGTCAAAAAACAAATAGTATTTTATTAGGACATTGTTGCACTTTATATAGAGCTTTATCAGCTCAACTACACAGAGAAATGTCCCAATAAAAGGTTACTCAAACATTTTTTTTTCTTCTCTGTGGTACACTGCTCAAAAATATGTTTGAGTAATCTTATATTGTTACACTTCCCTGTGTGTAGATGATTTGATCAAGCTCTACATAGAGTGCAACAATGTTGCAATAAAAGGTTATTCTCCAATAAGTATCTTTTCTTCACTATTGTTGGCAGTATGCCACTGGGATCCACTGTAGCACAGACTGTGTTTCATAATATGCAACAACTGGTCATTCTGGTAAGCTCTGGTGCTGAAGAGTTCAGTTTAGAAGGATTACAATGTATTAGTTACTGGCAGTTCTTAAACTCAACTGTTCACAGCTAAGTCACAATTCAGAGAACAATTCTATCTAAAGTTTCCTCTGTGAATTGTGGGTTAATTGTGAAATGTTCCAGCCACAGTATTGAGTTATATTTTTCATACTTAAATGGATTACTACATTCATAAGAGAATAAGAAAAACTTATTGTAAATACTGTCATGGTTCTATATTTGAGTCATTGCATCGTATTAGTTGCAACATTGTGTTGGTTGGTGAGGACCAGTAACAACATGCCACATTCTCCATGTGTTATCTTACCTTCTTCTCTGGATCACTGTTATCTGGTGAGAATTTTGACTCAGTTTCCAGTCCACTAAGACCATCTTCAAGAGAATTGCCATTTTCCTGTTAAGAATATTGCTATGAATGTCTTAGACACCCATGTACTGTAATGATCTTTCAGTTCATCAATCTATCTACTTTTCAGCTGATGTAGAATGTGTATAAATGACAATTATTATTATTATTATTAATATCTTATTTAAAGCCTAGCAGTAGTAATACAGTATTACTACTGAATTTTGCTCTTTAACTTTAAAGAATTTTGCCTCGGTGGGAGACGGCCATCATGTTGAAAATATATATATATAAGTACTGTATTATGTTAATATTTTAAAATGCAGCAAAATACATAGTACAATTAACTGAAAAGTTGCCAGCATAAATAACTACATAACAGTCCCTGGTAAATAGTCCACCAAATATAGTCATATTTCAAGGTGTGCCAATGCTGGCACTATCTTGTTAATGCACATCATTACTGTATATATTTAAAGAGGTGCCTTATACCTATTATAATATTATTGTTATTAAATATGTTATATTTTGAGCAATGAATCCCTACAAAGAAGCTTCCAATATGGACAATGCCAGGCTGGAATAATTTTATTCAAAACTTCTAATATACATACGTCTATACGCTGGAACTGTCTAGGAATGTAAACAATTACCGTCATATGTGTAACTAACTTTAACAGTAATATATCTGATAAGTTTGTTTTATTTACAAAAGAGAGAAAAGAAGACTGTTAATGAAAAAGAAACCAGACATCTAAAAGAAAAGAAAATGCTTTTGGCTTTTAAGTGAACTTACAAAAGTTGCTAACATTCCTATTTTAGAATTTTATTGAAAATTTGACTCCCAACTTTGAAAAAAAAAACTATAATATTTAATAAAAAAAGTGCACTGTACCAGATAATTGCCGGGGAAAAAGTTGCTCACATATTTTTTTTTTTTTTGGGACATCCTCAACAAGGGGGAATAATGGTTAAAAAGAAAAAAAAATTCTTAAAAGCTTTGATACTTTTCGTGTTTTTCTAACACACTTTCATGGTTTTTTTTCTATTTTTGTATGCTTTTTCCTTTTACCTTCCCTTGTATGAGTTGCCAGGAAATCATAAACCTTGGACACATTTTGTGTCTAGAGAAACCCAAGCGCAGATTCTTCATGATATGATAGTAAAGCAGCAAGAAGAATTCTCCAGAAAATGTTTCGGAGTTCCTTCAAAAGTTGGGGAATATAGGGGAAGAGTAACAGCCTGGTTGATCGACCCTGTCCACCGGGGGCCTGGTTCAGAAGGGGCCCGGGGGCATTGCCCCGAACCCCTCTAGGTATATCCAGGTAAGTTTGTGTAAGGAAAATCCCCCCCCCCAAAACCCTATTTTCCCATTAAAGCAAAAATTCAAAAAAAAAAAGTCTAAACAAATTATTATTTCTGTACAGCAAATCAGTAAAGTAAATAGATATATTCTGTTTCTCAGGTTGTAAACTGTTACAGGCTAATCCAGGGGATTATATCCCATACCTTCAGCTAAGATATTTCAATTTTGGGCCCTTTTAAAAAATGAGTTAAAATTAAATTTTAAAATATTTGAAAAAAACTCTGTTAAAAAATGGTGATAAATTTTTGTAAGTTTTATACTTGTGAGGAAACAGAGAGTTACTGAAGAAAAAATTAACTTAAATTTACTTGTAGGGGGGACTCCAGAATTTTATATGAAGGGACTTAGGGGGTTTTTGATGGCAGGGGCTAGAGGGAGGGGGTTGTTTGAAGTTGCATTATTTATTGTTATTTATTTGGTAGTCTTTATGGGATGCGGAGGCTATGAGGGATGAAGCCTTGTCTTCTACCTTGAACAAATACTCTTTATTTATAAAAGCGTGCTAAAAATTTTTGTCTTTTAACCAAAAATGCCAAAATATTCTCCTGGGGGAAATGGGAACAGAATTCTTCCTCCCTAAGCCTTGTGTGAAAAAAACGACTAAAAAGCCCGGGGGCAAGGGTAGTAACTCCTTTTTCCTTTTTATATTTAAATTTAAAAAGAGAAACTTTTTGTTTTTTTTTTGGGTCCCCCGCCTTGGTGGGATAAGCCGGTTTGTTGAAAGAAAAAAGCCCAAAATATGAAAAATGTAATATTCAAAATATTTTTGAGAGCATGCTGCTTGTAGGCTTAAAGGAAAAGTGATGAAATTTTGTGAGTGGAAGTGGTGTTGTGAGGTTTTGGTGGTGGGTGTGTGTGGTGGTGGGTGTGTGTGGTGGTGGGTGTGTGTGGTGGTGGGGGGTGTGGTGGTGGGTGTGTGTGGTGGTGGGTGTGTGTGGGGGTGGGGGTGTGTGGTGGTGGGTTTTTTTTGTGGTAGTGGGTGTGTGTGGGGTGGGTGGTGTGGTGGTGGGGGGTGTGGTGGGGGGTGCCGTGTGGGGTGATGGGATGGGGCTGATGTGATATGGTGGTGGAGTAGTGTAGTGTTTGATGGTTTTGGTGCTGGTGTGTGTGTGTGGTGTTTGGTGATGGTATGGTGCTGGTGTGTGTGTGTGGGGGTGGGGTGTGTTGATGGTTGGTGGTGGTGTGGGGTGATTGTGTGTGGTGGTGTGGTGTTTTGGTGGTGGTGTTGTGTGTGTGTGTGGGGTGTGTTGTGTGTGTGTGTGTGTGTGTGTGTGTGTGTTGTGTGTGTGTGTGTGGTTTTTGTGTTGTGTGTGGTGGTGTGGTGTGTGGTGGTGTGTGTGTGTGGTGGTGTGGTGTGTGGTGGGGTTGGTTGGTGGTGTGTGTGTTGGTGGTGTTGTGGGGTGTGTGTAGTGTGGTGTGTGTAGTGTGGTGGTGTGTGTAGTGTGGTGGTGTGTGTGTGGTGGTGTGTGTAGTGTGGTGTGTGTGTTGTTAGTGTGGTGGTGTTTGTGTTGTGGTGGGTGTGGTGGTGTGTGTAGTGTGTGGGGTGTGTGTGTGTGTGTGTTGTGGTGGTGTGTGTAGTGTTGGTGGTGTGTGTGTGTGGTGGTGTGTAGTGTGGTGGTGTGTGTATGTGTGGTGTGTGTAGTGTGGTGTGTGTGTGTGTGGTGGGGTTTTGTGTGTGGTGGTGTGTGTGTGGTGTGGTGTGTGTAGTGTGGTGTGTGTGTAGTGTGGGGGTTTGGTGTGTGTGTGTGTGTGTGTGTGTGTGTGTGTGTGTGTAGTGTGGTGTGTGTGTGTGTGGTGTGTGTGTGTGGTGTGTGTGTGTGGTGGTGGTGTGTGTGTGTGGTGTGTGGTGTGGTGGTGTGTGTAGTGTGGTGGTGGTGTGTGTGGGGTGTGTAGTGGGGTGGTGTGTGTGTGTGGTGGTGTGTAGTTGGTGTGTGTGTGTTGGTGTGTGAGTGTGGTGTGTGTAGTGTGGTGGGTGTGTTAGTGTGGTGTGTGTGTGGGGTTTGGTGTGTGTAGTGTGGTGGTGTGTATGTGTGTGTTTTAGTGGTTGTGTGTGTGTGTGTGTGTGGGTGGTGGTGTGTTAGTGTGGTGTGGTAGTGTGTGGTGTAGTGTGGTTGTGTATGTGTGTGTGTGTAGTGTGGGGGTGGTGGTGTGTGTATTGTGGTGTGTGTAGTGTGGTGGTGTGTTGTGTGTGGTGTAGTGTGGTGGTGTGTGTGTGTGTGTGTGTGTGGTGGTGTGTATAGTGTGGTGTGTGTAGTGTGGGTGTGTATAGTGTGTGGTGTGTTAGTGTGGTGTGTGTTGTGTGGTGTGTAAGTGTGGTGGTGTGTATAGGGGTGGTGTGTGTGTATGTGTGGTGTGTAGTGTGGTATGGGTGGTGTGTGTAGTTGTGGTGTGTGTAGTGTGTGGTGTGTGTAGTGTGGTGGTGTGTATTTGTGGTGGTGTGTGTAGTGTGGTGGTGTGTAGTGTGGTGGTGTGTGTAGTGTGGTGTGTGTAGTGTGGTGGTGGTATAGTGTGGTGGTGTGTAGTGTGGTGTGTGTGGTGGTGGTGTGTATGTGTGTGTGTGTAGTGTGGTGGTATAGTGTGGTGGTGTGTTAGTGTGGTGTGTGTAGTGTGGTGGTGTGTCGTGTGGTGGTGTGTATAGTGTGGTGGTGTGTAGTGTGGTGTGTGTAGTGTGGTGGTGTGTTAGTGTGGTGGTGTGTGTAGTGTGGTGGTGTGTGTAGTGTGGTGGTGTGTGTAGTGTGGTGTGGTAGTGTGTGGTGTGTAGTGTGGGTGTTAGTGGGTGTGTGGTGTGTGGTGTGGTGTGTGTAGTGTGGTGGTGTGTGTAGTGTGGTGTGGTGGTGTGTGTAGTGTGGTGTGGTGGTGTGTTAGTGTGGTGTGGTGGTGTGTGTAGTGTGGGGTGTGTGTGTGTGTGGTGTGTAGTTGGTGGTGTGTGTAGTGTGGGGTGTGGTAGTGTGGTGGTGTGTGTAGTGTGGGGTGTGTAGTGTGGTGGTGTGTGTGTGTGGTGGTTGTGTAGGTGGTGTGTGTAGTGGGGGGTGTGTGTGTGTGGTGTGTGTAGTGTGGTGGTGTGTGTGTGTGGTGTGGTGTGTGTAGTGTGGTGTGTGGTGGTATGTGGTGTGGTGGTGTGTGTAGTGTTGGGTGGTGTGTGTAGTGTGGTGTGGTGGTGTGTGTAGTGTGGGGGTTGTGTTGTGTGGTGTGTGTTATTGGTGTGTGTAGTGTGGTGTGTGTGTAGTGTGGTGGTGTGTGTAGTGTGGTGTGTGTAGTGTGGTGGTGTGTGTAGTGTGGTGGTGTGTGTAGTGTGGTGTGGTGGTGTGTAGTGTGGTGTGGTGGTGTTGTGGTGTAGTGTGGTGTGGTGGTGTGTGTAGTGTGGTGTGTGTGTAGTGTTGGTGGTGTGTGTAGTGTGGTGGTGTGTGTAGTGTGGTGTGGTGTGTGTAGTGTGGTGTGTGGTGTGTAGTGTGGTGTGGTGGTGTGTGTAGTGTGGTGTGGTGGTGTGTGTAGTGTGGTGTGGTGGTGTGTGTAGTGTGGTGGTGTGTGTAGTGTGGTGGTGTGTGTAGTGTGGTGGTGTGGCACAAGGAAGGAAACAATTAACTCAGCATTACACTGAACATTTATGGTATTTAGCCATATTTTCTAATATACATATTTCAGAAAATGGAATACTGAACATCCTGACACGAGAGTAATGTGT